GGAGGATTGATGGAAATGGTGGTGAGTTCTTTGTTGTAGGTGCTCTAGTTTATGTATGAATTATGAATTGTCACATTGAGAATTTTCCAAAAGGATTTTAAGTACCTCTTTATTTGTGTTTCTGTTTACAGTAAATAGGGCCGAAATGTTTTTTTCAAGTCATTCCTACCCATTGCAACATTACTTATATACAAACTTAGGTTTTATCCTTATCCTCTCTTCATCAACAGACAAAATGTCATCAGTACATTCACACAAAATTCGATACAGGCAAAGTAGGTGAAGAAACATTCACTAAACTTCCCCAAGAAATTACTGAAGTACATTCTCTTCTTATTTTTCTTGTAGCCTTATAACCCTATGTGGGTCTTAACTTGTTCGACTAGTTTTTTCCATTCTGTCCTATCATTCACAATTCTTCTCCATCCCCTCACTCCCATTGTCCTCACATCCTCCACATCATCTATCCATCATTTCCGTGGTATCCCTCTCATCCTTCTTCCCATCGGTCTCCATTCCATCACTCTTCTAGTTGCCCTGTTTCCTTCCATTCTTGCAACATGGCCAAGCAAGGCTAACCTTTTGCTTTTGATCAGCCTCACGATACTGAAGTACATGCTACATCATTTCATTAGTAACTGCTTTCGAATTTACTTTTAGAAATAAATTGCTGGTGAAAGGATGTAGCAGGATATGCAGAATTAATCCGTTATTTGTAAGGTTGAAAATATAATGCTTCAGTTTAATAGTTAAATTTCTGTTAGCTGTCTCTGTTATTCATACAGTGAAAATTTTTCTTTTGTTCCATTTTCTTTGTTTCATAGAATAGGATAGAATTAGGTATTTTGTTATGATTTCTATTACCCTAAGAGGCTCACAGTGTAAGCCACTATTGTGTTCTCTCTTTTATGGGCACGTTGATGTCATCGTCTGCCCTTTACATAAAAAGACATAATGCGTATTGTTTTTATACTCCCATGTACCTCAGATTTGACGGGCTAAATTAACAAATGCCGCAATTATTCCACAAGAGTGAAATTGTAAAATCGAATTATAAATTTAGTGCTTGATGGAAAGTGAATACAAATTGAAATTATTCGCCAGAATTTTGTGGAAGAGATAATTCTCGCCTCCTGAATTTTTGGTCTTTAGACCCACAAGTTGTTTCATATAAAGCCATTCATGGCTTTTGTTACTCTCTTAGCATATCAGTGTCCTTTTATTTGCTGTGACTTGTCAGATTTTGGTTGTATTTGTACCGTTATTTTCCGTCAGATTTTGGTTGTATTTGTACCATTATTTTCCGTCCAGATAAGTTCTGTTTCTCTATACATAAATGATGTAATAATGTATGAGAATAGTAGTTTGGTGATATATATGCTATAGGGTTAAGACGTATTTTTCTCTGTTTGATGTTTGTCACGTTACCCAGTATTCTTTAAATTTGCGGTAAGTAGCCATCTAGTAAGCTTTCAAGTACTTCAAGATAAATTCATGGTTACTCTTAATAAATGTTGAGGAATGCTGAATCTCTTGAGATCGTCATATGTATGTGTATATTAAAGCTTGTAATTGGTAGAGACGTTCTATATCCTTTACCACCGTTTTGTATCGGATATGTGGGCAGGTTACACGTGAATTCATATCAAACTGCATATCTGAAATATTGTTAACATTGAGTGAGTCAAGGAAATTATAATAATTTGTGTTGGAGTATTACGAAGTGCCAACTTTGAATCTGAATCCAGAGACCAGTCATCAGGATTTTCTATCACACAAATGCTTAGATAGTATCTTGAAATTTACCTTTTTAGCTTGTTCTCATTTCATTATTCTTAGTAATTCTAATCATGGAGTGGTTCATAACTGTACATTTTACAGAATGTTAAGTAAATAAGCGAGCGTCCTGTTTACAGTTATTAAAAACAATTCACGCAGCATATTTAAATTTGAGATTATTTGTGATGGTTACTAATTATAAAAGAAATTCAGAATTATTGCTTCTACATTATATCTTTCATGTTACATGAGTTTTGAGAACCTTGTACCTGTGCAGTTGGTATTTATGTTAAACAATTATAAACAATATCTGTCTTGTGTTGTTACGCTAGAGGCGTGTATATTGTATGTTTTTTGTTTTAATATCTTGCGATCATTGTATACGGATGTTCAACATTCCAGCTGTTTAAAAATGCAACTGTGAAATAATTTGCATTTGAATTCAAATTACTGTGTTACATTACTTTTGGAATCAATTTGTATCATTCAAGAGCATATCCTAAACCTACTGATATGGTAACTAGAAATGCTGAGAAAATTGGTATAACTGTGTTGAATTGTATTAGATTTCTCACTTGACAATAGGAAGTAAAAATAGTATATTTTATAGTACAAGTTGCATTACCATTTGTCTCCAGCAATAATTCCCACATTGGACAATCAAATGATCAGTTTGTATTACATATTATTATATGTGAATGTACTGTTGTATATTTAAAATACAGTGGAACCTCAATATAACATGGGTTTCTGGGGGACAGTGAAATGTAAAAAAACGCATAATCTTATTGGGGGACATGATCACAGCTGGGGTATAACGAGGTTCCACTGTAGTTGTTTTTAATTTGTTGCATCTATTAAACTAAAGTGTATAAGGTTATTTTATAGTCCACTTTAACCTTTGGAGTACTAAGTATAATTTTTTTAATATTGCAATAAAAATGGGGCCGTAAATACTATTCCAGCATTTAAGTCAAGTCTTATTATTAACGTCAACAGTGAGTTTTCAGTTGATGCTAAAATTCTGTTTCCTGAAGTACAGTAGTTCTTATCGACAGCAGTTTTAATGGTATGTGGTGTACCAAAGAACATAAAATTTACCAAATTTAGACCCCTTTTATGTGTAAAATTGTTATAAATAGACGCATTGTTTAACCCTTTCCATACTGGTGGCCGAGTCCGTACCTACAAGTGAACAACTTTAATCAGACCGTGAGGATAGATTTCAGTTTGTAGAATCTTTATTAATGTGTATGGACAGAAAATATTCCAATTGCCCTTAGTTTTGGCACACACAGATTTGGTCAACTTTGTTTGTAAGACGGCATTTTACTTGTAAGGCCTACGTGTCTGAATTGATGTTTCTGACCTTACATTTGATGCATTTTATCTTCATTAGTTTGGTTGCTACTGCCATGCAAAATGTTTGCATAATACAAGTGTAAATAAGATCAGGGAGTTGCTTTTTAATTTTGATTTAGAAGATCAATTTACCTCAGATGACTGTGATATTGACTTACCGGATGGTAATGATGGTGTTCCAACAAATTCATCATGACATAATAGAATCTAAGACGGGAGTACAGAACACTGTCTATCCTGATTTTAGTCTGTTGTTTCACGTCATATCGCTGCAAATTCGTCATACTTTTGGCTAGTATTTACTGGTGAACTATAAAACATTATTTTATGGAATTTGGTAATCCAATGGTTGGCACTAAATGGTTTGAAGATGGCCGTCTTCTGGGTTGTAATGTCGTGTAGTCTCGTAGAAGTTTATCATAGTTTCAGACGTTTCTGTCTCCATCACCCTGATGACGGAGGAAGCAAGGACCTCTGAAACGACGTTAACCTACCAGACTATATGGCACTACGACCCAGAGGACAACCGTTTAAGAAGAAGCGGTGATTTCCGATGCAGTGAAGTTTTGGAAGGTTAAAAGCAGCTAACGTTAGTGCCTTAATTAATGTTTTGACAATTGTAAAACAAATAATTTGCTCAAATCCGTGTTGTTTAAAAGGTAAAGTGCTTAACCTGTAGTCAAAGGGCAGTGTCTCCCTGTTCTTCTTTCTCTACTTTTTAAAAGTTCGATAAGGTAAATATGCAGAATAAATATTGCATGGAAACTTTTGTAAGACCTGGAAAGATGACATATGTTTGAATGAAACAACTTGAGCCCATTTGCCCTCCATTCTGGCAAGTACTG